GTCAGCGGCAGTGAGGTGGACCGGGGAGGGGTCCAGTGCCTGGGGGGGTCAGAAGCAGTGAGGTGGATGGGGGAGGAGTCCAGTGCCTGGGCGGGGGGCCAGGTCAGGCGTGGATGGCTTTGGAGGGCCCCCGTGAACTGGACAGACACTGTGGGACCTGGTGGAGAGCTACAGGATTCAGATTCTGTTGGTCCCAGCCAGCACTGCCACCCCCTGGGGCTGGCACCACCAGCCCGCTGGGCGCTGCCTGCCTGTGCATGGCCCTCTACCTGGACAGGTAGCCTTGGGCACTGAAGTAGGAGGAGGTCTCCGTGGCATCAGCTGCAGTTTCATAGTCTGTGCTGGTCACTGGGAAAGGAAGAGTGGCCTCCATGAGGCTTGTGCCCCACCTGCCCGAGCACGGCCCCACACCAGGGGCCAGCCACCTGGCTCTCACTGCAAGACCATCCCTGAGAACCATGCACACTCCTGGGCCAGAAGCCTCAGGGGACCTGGCTGTCCACTGGCCCTCCACACCCCAGGCTGTCACCCACCAGCCCATGCTTCTAGGCTTGGAAGTAACTGCAACCTCAACCACTGGTCAGCTCTGGTGATTCTGGGCCTCATGACAGGGCTGCATCATCCAGTTTTACCCACTAGGGGACAAGGGGGTGATGCATGCAGGCCTCAAAACCAGCAGCTGGGGGCTTCCACATCCAGCCACGAAAGAGGAACAGGGACTGGACCTACTCTCTACCAGGGGCGGGATGTTCCTGTCCTCCCCCCAAATTCATATGTGGAAATCCCAACCCCAATGTGTGGGTGTCAGGAGCGGGGCCTTTGGGAGGTAATCAGGGCTAGAGGAGTGCCCTAACAAGGAGCGACCCCCGCGAGGACACCATGAGAATACCATGTCTGCAGCTCAGAAGAGGGCCTTGCTGGAACCCAAGCCGGGGCGCCCTGAGCTCAGACGCAAGCCTCCAGTGAAGCCTCCAGAACCCCGAGCAGTAACCTTCTGTTGTTTCAGCCACCTGCTCCGTGGCACCTGTTAGTGCAGCCTGGACCCAGACACCCTCCCCCACCCTCACCACGCCCCAAACGAAGTACAATAGTTGTGAGAGTGTGATTTCTGTAAGAAGCATGTTCTTGGTCTTTGTCACTGCTCCTAGCACTGAGCTCCAAAGCCCTTGGAGTTTCCCACGTGAGGACGGCAATGACGGTGTCTTTTGTTATGTAACGAGGTGACTCTGGAAAGCCCCTCAGGGTGGGGGCTGGTGACCAGGGGACTCAACCCTGGGACCAGAGGGTTGGAACTTTCAGTCCCACCCCCTGACCTCGGGGAAGGGAGAAGGAATCAATCACCAATCACCAATTGCTGATGACTCCATCAATCATGCCCATGTATTGAAGCCCGCATAAAAACCCACAAGGTCAGGCTTGGAGAGCTTCTGGGCTGGTGACCACATAGACATGTGGGGAGAAACTCCAAGCCCCTCCCCCAGTGCCTTGCCCCATGTGTCTCTTCCATCTGGCTACTTCTGAGTTATATCTTTTTATGATAAACTGGTAATGTAGGAAGGAGAATGTTTCTCTGAGCTCTGTGAGCCGCTCCAGCAAGTTAATGGAACCCGAGGAGGGGGCCGTGGGAACCTTGGATCTGTAGCCAGCTGGTCAGAGCACAGAGGACCCCTGGACTTGTGACTGGCATCTGCAGTGAGGTGGTCTGTGGGCCTGAACCCCGAACCTGATGCTGACTCCACGTGGGTCTGATGCTGACTGATGCTGACTCCATGTGGGTCTGATGCTGAGTCCATGTGGGTCTGATGCTGACTCCATGTGGATCTGATGCTGATTCCATGTGGGTCTGATGCTGAGTCCATGTGGGTCTGATGCTGACTCCATGTGGACAGGTTCAGAGCTGAGTTCATTGTAGAAACCCCGGCTGGCATCAGAGAATTTCTTGTTGAATGCTTACAGATTGGAAACGATGATAAGCCCTGTGATTGCCCCAACTTCCTGCCTTGAGTTTCCAGCTCCAGGAGGGGAAACTGAGGCTGAGCCAGGTAGACCCTGAGTGGAGGAGCTGGCATCCTGGGAGATGAAGACTGCTGGTGTCCACAGGATGGAAGCCAGAGAAGAGAGAGGGCAGAGCACTGACTAGCATGTGCACAGGGTGGGGATGAGCCATCTGAGGGGGCCATCGAAACAGTGGGGAGGATGCTGTGTTTCCAGTCGGACTGGGAACTTCCCCAATCTGTGGCATCTGGTCCTCAGGAAGGGGGATCAGCCCTGGATGGAACTCTGCCGGCCCCCCACCTCAGAGGAAGACCTCAAGATCTGCAGAAATACAAAGTCTCCAGCTGCCACGTGGGCAGGCATCCCGTCAAGGACCTCCAGACTCACACGGAGGCAGGAAAACACCCCCCAGTGGGTCAAAACCAAGTCAGAATGGATGCACGTGGAACTGGCAGACAAGATCATCAAAGCAGGTATTAGAACTGTATGACCAAGACCCAGCACACGTGAAAAGAGACTCCACTAGCACTGTAGAGACAAACGGTACACTGACAGGCCTGACGGCAGGGTAGCGACTTCAGAAGGACAGCGAAGGTCAGAGATAGTGGGACAAACAATGTGAAATGGAATGCAGACCCAAAAGCTGCACATGAAGAGAGTCAGCGCGTGGTCGCGCCCCTGCACGCGGCTTCTTGTGCCTGTGACTGCAGTCCCCAGACGAGTGGGGAAGGAAAGACACTTGAGGAAATCACAGCCAAAAACACTTCCAAACTTCATTAAAACTAGAAACCCCAAATCCCGAGAACCTTCGTGAACAGCAAGCACGCGGGAACATAAAGAAAAGTGCACCCAAGAACAGCACAGTCAGATGCCTCAAAACCAGTGAAAAGAATGAAATCCTAAAAAATACCCAGAGACCATTTTTGAGGAAAATGACAAACTGATCCTCAAAGTCATAAAACACAAGGGATCCAGATGCTCTGAACGAGAGTGAACCTGCAGGACTAACATGTCCAGATTTCAAAACTGACTATGAAGCTACAGTAATCAAGACAGTGTGGTGTTGCCAGGATGACAGACGTACGGATCAACGGGACAGTTAGAAGCCCAGAAATGAACCCATACGTGTCATGGAAGTCAGTTTTTGACAAGAGTTCCACAGCAATTTTACAGAGGAAGATAGTCTTTTCTGTGAATGGTGCTGGAATAACTACACTTCCACGAGACAAGAATGAATTTGGGTCCTTACCTCACACCATATACCAAAAACCTACACGTAAGAGCTGAACTATAAAACTCTTAGAAGAAAACAAGGTTGTACATCTTTATAACGTCAGATTAGGTGATGGTCTTGTAGACAAGCAACCAAAGGAAAAGTACTGGATTTCATCACAATTAAAAATTCTTGTGCAGGGCGCCTGGGTGGCTCAGTTGGTTAAGCGACTGCCTTCGGCTCAGGTCATGATCCTGGAATCCCAGGATCGAGTCCCACGTCGGGCTCCCTGCTCAGCAGGGAATCTGCCTCTCTCTCTGACCCTCCCCCCTCTCATGCTCTCTATCTCATTCTCTCTCTCAAATAAATAAATAAAATCTTTAAAAAAAAAATTCTTGTGCATCCAAGAACACCATCAAGAAAGTGGAAGGAAAATCATAAGAATGGGAGAAAATACTCGAAAATCATATATCTGACAAGGGCATAGTACCCAGAACACATAAAGAACTCTGACAACTCAAAAACCCAACTTGAAAATGGGCACGAGATCTGAGCAGACATTTCTCCAAAGAACATACACAGGTATCCAATAAGCACATGAAAAGACAGCATTGTCAGCAAGCTGGGAAATGCAGGTCGAAACCACAGTGCTCAGGGCAGTATGGCTGAACAGAGGATCAATGGCAGGGGCTGGGGGTGGAGGGGGGATGGGAACCCCATAGTGGGTGGCATGTACAATGGAGCTTGCCAGTTCCTGCACCAAGAAGCCACAGAATTACCATATGACCAAGCAATTCCGCTCCTACCTATGTGCCCGAGAGCTGAACACACAGGTCCCCAAACACTAAAACTTGTACACAGATGGGCACAGCAGCATTACTGATAGGACCCAAAACCACCACCATTTTCACCGGAAACACCAGCTGATGAGTGGCTGAACGGTCCACATACACGGAGTGATTTTCAACCTGAGAAACTGATGAAGTTCACAACGTGGATGGACCTCCAAAACATGCCAGGCCGCAGAAACCGGACACGAGAGACCACATATCATAGGATTCCATTTATGTGAAATGTCCAGAAAAGGCAAAGCCACAGAGACGGAGAGTAGCTCAGCGGTGTCCAGGGGCTGGGGGAGGCGGGGTGGGGACGGAGCGTGGCTCAGCAGTCCCAATTTTAAATCCCAGGGGAAAGGGCTAGTTTTGCACAGAGAAACAAAGATAAGAATGGCACCCTATTTCTCAGTGGAAACCATCCAAGCTAGTAAATAGGGGAGCAGCACCTTCAAGGTATGAGAAGAAAAAGGAATCATCCTAGTAAAAATATCTTTCAGAGCCACGGGGGAAATACAGACTTTTTCTCAGACGTGCAAAAGCTAAGAGAATTCTAGCATTCCCAGATGATGGGGAAAATGTGGAAAGATGTCCCTCAGGCAGAAGGACAGCAATGCCAGAAATCTAGATCTCCGCGGCAGGGTGGACTAGCTCCTGCTTTGGTGAATGTACACAATTCTGCCTCGGTCACGCTAACTGATTTGCGTACAGCTGTGCTGTGGACACAGCCGTGGCCGTGGCCCTGCGTCTTGCTCATGTCCGCTCAACGACCTCTCGTGGGGCTGGCCGCCCACGAATCCGTTCGGGAGAACAGTCCTTCCCAGACCCCACCCACGCTTCGGTCTCCGCTCTGACACCCGCTTTTCCAGAGACGGTGTCCCACGTTGCGTTCCCGTGTCTCTGATCCTCGCCAGCACGGCGTGTGATCCCTAGTGATGAAGTTACCATCCTGCTGAGTGCACGTGACATCTCGCTGGGGCTCCGTTAGCGTTGCCCCCATGGCTAACATCCTCCAGGTGCCTCTCAGCCTTCGGCGAGTCCTCCTCCCGTGAAGCGTCTGGACACGTCTCTTGCTCTGGTTCCAAGTGGAGTTTTGATTTTTTTTAAATCTGTTTACTGTTGAGCATTCTTTATGTTGTTTTAAGATAAAGTTATTTTCTTAGACACCTGGCTTGCAGATACCTTCTCCTGCCATGTAGTCTCTCCACATGGGGTCTTTCTCAGAGCAGAAGTTCCTAACTTTTACCAATTTTCCCTTTTATGGGTGTTGCTTTAGTTGTCAAATCTAAGAAGTCTTTTCCTGGCCATAGCTCCTAAAAATTTCCTTCTATCTTTTTTTCTGAAAGTTTCATAGTTTTGTATTTTCTGTTTACGTATGTAATTCATTTTGAGCTCATTTTTGTATGAGGTCAAGGTCTAATTATTTGCCTGTAAATATCCCAATTACTCCAGCACGACTTGAGATTCTATCCTTGAATCTGAAATTCTACCCTTCCTCCACTTAAACGCTCTCACACTTTTCTCAAAGATCAGATGGACCTACTCGTCCTGAGGCCTACCAGGAGTCACTGCATTAGAATAAAACACACCTCCTGTCCCCTTATCACTCAGGGAAACTTCCAGCGATTCGGGAACTGTGTGCTGGGAACGAAGGACGACCAAATCCATATTTCTTATTGCACACAGCTAACCTCCACGCGTGCCTGGGGCACCTGTGACCTTTCCCAGGCCCCTCCCCAGCCTAGACACCACCCAAGGAGATGAGACCCCCATCCCCAACCTGACCCCAATCCTCCAGTGTTGTCTGGGTCCTCCTGCAACCCAGCACCACCCCCGCCCAGCTCTGGCCCTGGGGCCATCAAACCCGGACCGCCATACTCACGGTCCACGCGGAGCTCCGCCTTCGTGGAGGACACGCCCACGCTGTTCTCAGCCATGCAGCGGTAGACGCCCATGTCTGCCAGCACCACGGCTGTGATGATGAGCTGGTGGCCGCCCTGCTGGTCCTCACTGATCATATAGTGGTCATCCTCCTCCAGCATCCTTCCATCCTTGAACCAGCACACAGTGGGCACGGGCTGGCCTGTCACCACGCAGTCAAAGCTCACGGGGTAGCCGTCCTGCACCTCCTGATCCTGCAGCCCGGTCAGGAACACTGGGGCTGGGAGGGACAGGAACACAGTTCTGTCTCTGCCCGCCTAGGTCCAAGCCACCGAGAGGCCAGAGGGATCATGGACAGGAAACAGGGAGGAGGGGGAGGTAAGGGGAGACAAATGCTGTGTGGGCTGAGGGTCCAAGGGTTGCAAGCATGAGAATGGCCCAACATTGCACAGGGAGGTTCCCAGACGTGATGCCATGGGTTATTCATTAGACCCCTTGTTGTCCCTAGGGAGATGCAAGCCAACAGTGGAATGGCTCTAAAATTAATATTAGTTGCTGGAGCAGGTGATGGGGGCCGTGGAACCCCACCTTTCATAGGGGTAGTATCCCAAACCCTTACGGAGCAAAACACACAAACTCTGGAAAGTCAGTATCTTATACCCACTTCACAGAGGAGGACACTGAGGCCCAGAAAGGCTAGCTCACAACAGGCACTGGGATTGACATCGAGCTCTGTCTATCACCAAATCTGGGGCTCTTCCAGCTCAGTGGGCTGCATTTGCAGGGGCCAGAGGCTTGAGCCCAGCTAGCTCGCTGAGTCTTCAGCTGCCGCAGTTCACCTTGGCTGGCCCTACTCCTCCTCCTTGCCCACCCCCCTCCCCCGCGGGCAGTGGGCAGACAGCGGGCAGAGGGCAGACTCACCGGCCTCTGCAGTCAGCGGGCGGGGCACCATCTCCTGAGGCGTGGCAGGGGCGGGACCCACCTTGCTGATGCGCATCTCCACCCCCCGGGGCCCCTGCTCCGACAGGCTGATGTCCACCCTGATGCCCATGGTGCCAAACATCTCCCGGAAGCAGGTGGCCGCACGGTGGGACTCGGCAAGCGACTCGAAGCGGATGCAGACGAAGTGCTCATCTTCGTGGTACGTCGGCCAGTCCCCAGGCTCCTCGGGCTGTGCTGAGCCCTCATCTGCACTGAGGAAGATCTCTTCGTCTGAAACCTCAGCCGGGCTCTTGGTGCGGAAGAGACGGTGGAGCCGCCGGGCTGCCCGGCGAAAGGCTTCGTCCAGCTCACCCCCTGAGGAGCTCTCTGCCTCGCTCTCGGTCCCGCTGACCACCACACAAGCGCTGTGGGCCACATGGCCAAACTTGCTGCTCACCTGACAGGTGTAGCGACCAGCATCAGCCCGGCCCAGGCCCGGGACCAGCAGGGAGCAGGTGCCGTCCGCGAGCTGGTCGATGTGGTGGTGTCGGCCGTCCGTCAGCTCCATGCCATCCTTCAGCCAGCGAGCACGCACATCCACCTTGCTGGACACCACACACTCCAGACGCAGGACATCCCCCACCTGTGCCTCGGTATCCCCAAATGTGCGGGAGAACACAGGTCCCTCCTGCTGCTTCATCTCCTTGCGGACCTTGTAACCCTTGAAGGCAGCCTGGATCTTCACAGCTGCCTTGTCCATGGAGGGGTCACTCAGGTCTCCCGGTGGTGGGCAAACGGCAGCTGGCTGCTCCTGATGCTCCTGTTGCTTCCCAGGTGGGACCGTGGGGACCCCAACCTGTGCACACAGGGAAGGTAGGGAAACTGAGGCCCATGACAAAAAAAGCACAGTGCAGGGACAGCTGGGGCAGGGCTGGAAGCAAAGCACAGGTCTCCCGTCCCAGCTCCAGGTCATCATGCCCCTCTGCTTCCTGCCCACCTGTAGCTGCTCAGCCTTTGCATGCCTGATGGCTCCTGGTGCTGCCAAGAGGCAAGCCCGCTCCCTGAAATCACTCTAAGTGGTCACCCAGACAGAGACTGGCAGGTTGTGAGACACAGAGACCAGTTCTGGCTCTTAACAGCCGGGTGGATGGGTGAATGGGTGGATGGTGGATGGATAGGTGGTGGATGGGTGAGTAGTGGATGTGTGGGTAGGTGGGTGGGTGAGTGGTGGGTGGTGGAAGGTGGATGGGTGGGTGAGTAGATGGTGGGTGGATGGT